GGAGTGATAGGCTGTTTTGTGCTGCAGTGTATAACATTATTTAAACAAACAGAAACTCGATACCTTCAGTGGGAAAATAAGCTTTTGCAATTTTCAGTGTAACACTACCAGTAATTTCAAAATACTGCCCTGAAATTTCCTTATTAGGTATTATAAAGCATATCTTCAGTATTTGTGGTGTGCATTTCCATCTCTTTTCTTTACTTTTGAAATGTTAGTTACACTCTTAATACTGTTCTATTACCTTAATATCTGATAGTTTCAAGTATATGAGACCTTACCCCTTTCAGCCTAGTCTGTAATTTAGATTACAAGAGAAGTTGCTTAAGTTCAATGACATGTGAAATGAAAGCCTATACTCATCAAATAAACCACCACAGTTCAATATTCTGCTTTCAGAAAGCTAAATTTGTTAAAAGGCCACATAGACCCTGTGCCAAATTCTTCTGTTGGCTTAATTCAGGGTTTGATTTTCAATGATGATAGTATAATTCAGCTTGGAATTTAGTCTGTTTTTTTTTCCCTCCAAATAACAGAATTGTTCATTAGAAATTAAAAATAATTTATTTTAGTTAATGTGAACTTGTATGATGCTAGTTAGAAAAGCAAGTGTTGCAAATGAGCCCTGTAGCTTTTCAGTTGTGTTGTCAATTCAGTAAATGAGGGTAAAGAAGTTATTATAGAATTAGCTAAGATGGGGCTTGTGCTGCTGGTTAAATAAAACAAGTTTTGTATTTTGTGATATTTAGATATTTAGTTAAACTAGATACTCTAATTCTGATGAAAAATTTTAAACGTGATAGATACAAAAAATCAAGGAAGATTTTTACAGGCATTGAAATCCCTGCATAGAAGAGAATCACTTTGGTAAATCATCCTCAAATGGACCCTGCAGGTAAATGGATCTGCACACTGCAGGTTAGGAAGTGGAAGGGAGAAGGAAGGCAATCTGTTTTGTCTGCCTGGGAACAATTTTTCTTCTGAGATGGGGGGATTTCCATGCTGTGACTGTGAGCATTGTAGCAGGTGTACACCCACATGGATTCTCTGAACAAGGCTGCACATCATTAACCAACCCCAGCATCTTATCAGCAGCTGAAATCAATATTTGATAGCTTGTAGGAAAGTGGGGTAGAAGGCACAAAAAGGAGACAAATTATGAATCGGATGAAAAAATAAATATGCCTTGATCCCATAGGCAGTCAACTGAAAGACAACCACAAGGGCTTGAGTTTTTATTAAAATGGTCTTAACACAAAGCTACTAACAGAAGTTATATTGGTCCTGTATTCCCACAGATTCATTGCAAAAGGGGATGAGAAAATCAGTAGAATTAAATTCACAGATTCCAAGCCAGAAGTGATCATAGCAGCCATCTGAAATAAACCTTTAATATTTTTATCCGCAGTCAGACTAAACTAATTCTTGACATAAAGATATAAAGTGTGAACCAAAGGAGATAGATCACTGATCAGAGTAGCCTATCTTTCCTATTATTTTTGTTAGTTATACCATTTTTGGTCCTCCTAATGTGTTTTCCATTAATACAGTATAATGTAAACTTTGGAATCACAGTGTCATAAAAGAAGGCAAATGCTTAAAAAAAAACCCCAATATACAGATTCTTAGTAGTTTCCTCTATCAAACATAGTCCTGTCAAAATTTTTTTGACAAGATTTATACCCCATAAAATGCTATCAAGTGTGAATTATATTGCTAGCCTGTATTTTGTAGGAAGAATCCTGGATTTATTGTGCTGCTATTTTATTGGGGAATGATGTCAAGTTAATTTATGTAAAGACCCTTGGTTATCTTTCTTCACCTTTTAATAGTGCAGAACTATTACATGTGGGACATTTTCAATGCGTTATTTGTGTACATCACTTAGGGAAGGTGGCTTGAAATTATGTGGTGTTCTTAGAGGCTTCCTCACATTCTGCTTAGCTCAGGACATTATGCTTTCTGTTTTAGTGATGTCCTCAGATAGTACAGCTCCTCAATGCTCTGTTTTCTGCATGATACTATTCTTAATTCATTACAGATCAAGCATTCTTTGTTTTTGCTCCTTTGAGTGACTTTGAGAAGTGCTGGGGATCTCTGAACTTCTATATCACAAAGATACCAAGATAATAAATCAATCTGTTTGAACAGACAGTTAAGGACTAGGTATTATTTTCTACTGTAGACTTTATGACTCTGGTTCAAAGACAAATTAGAAGCAAATATGTTTACAGCTCTTATTTGCATCTAGGTTATCAGTGGAAAAAATCATCATGTTTCGTGGCCATTAACTACCCCATTATCCAGCCTGAGAAGTGCCCTGCAAGCTTTGACTGGAATAAGACTTCAGTATAATTTGATATGGTTACTTTTGAAGATTGTATTTATTCTTAGTACTTGTGTGATATTTTGATGGATTTTTCTTATATCTGAGCGTCTCCAGGCATTTTGCAAACATTCATTTAAATTTATGCACTTCAGGAGTTAACAACTGAATCCAATATGGAAGCCAAGGTTTAGTGAAAGGTGTGATTATCATCCACTAACATCTGCCTTTTAAGGGGTCTGACTGTCAATTTTCAATACTAATAATCTAAATAAAATATCATTCTGAATTGAAAACAAAGGCCTTGGTTTACATCATTCACAGTATCTGCAGTTCCAAATGCTGTTTCACACTATGTGAGAAGAACCCTAAGAGCCACTTAGTCTTGGTTCTGTTAGTAACTTTAATGCCAACTTCTTTATGTGAGTGAAATTGTCTTGGTAGGATTTAATTAATAAAACACAAAAAATCCTGTTGAACAAGAGCTGATGGCACGTTGGACAACTGGAAGATTAGATGATTGAAAAGGAGTTCTATTCTGATATTGTTTGATAGAGATAAGACAACTGGGAATGGTTTTAAACTGAGACAGGGGAGATTTAGGTTATAAATCAGGAGGTTTTCACACAGAGAGTGGTGACACACTGGAACAGGTTGCCCAAGGAGGCTGTGGATGCCCCATCCCTGCAGGCATTCAAGGCCAGGCTGGATGTGGCTGTGGGCAGCCTGGTCTGGTGGTTGGTGATCCTGCACATAGCAGGGGGGCTGAAACTAGATGATCAGTGTGGTCCTTTTCAACCCAGGCCATTCTACGATTCTATGATTGTTGTTCAGGCTGGAAAGTGCATTAGGCTCACCTATGCACCATGCACTGTACTACTGGAAGATGAACACCAATCATTGTTTGTGGATGTTTAGTGTTTCTGAATTATATGCTCCATTTCTTACACTCTGATTTGTCCATGACTGGGTACAGCTCTTTGTCTAGAGAACTGGGTTTTGTTTTGGTTTTTTTTTTTTTGTTATTATTATTATTTTTTTAATGGTATTTTAATATTGCTTATAAGTGTGGTCCTCAAGGAATTTTTAGTGCTGTTGTACCTGAAAACACATGCATGAAAATCTAAAAGTTGCAGAAATTTAAATGTCCTGTGGTAGCCAGTAACCTGAAATCAAAATAACTCTGTACAAAGTGCTGCCTCTTATCTTTCAAATGATTTTTTTTATGTTTATTTTGATATTAAAAAGAAAAATCCACATTTCCTAAGATAAGTAATCTTTTTTCTTAAACAGCAGCTCTGAAAATCCTGTCCTAGATTCCATCCACCCAATCCCAATTCCCAGCCACAATCTGAAATAGCTTAGTGTGCTCTTTAAATGAGGCTTCATTAATTTTACAGAATGTACCAGAGGACATTCACTAATGCTGTATATCTGGAGTTTCTGTGCAGTCAATTAAAATGTAGCTACATTTTTTTCTGAATAAGTGAAGCATATTTTTTATGATAGCATAACCTTTTTCTCCAGGCATGTTTACTTGCTTCTTCATACAATTCAAATAAGTGTAATGAATTTCTTAGGCATTAGTGAGGATTAATAAAGTTCTTCTGTGTTTCCTTTAGGTTTAATTTAGAACTTTCCACATTTTTATTTAATAAAAAAATAGTTCTGCTTGATTAAATACAATTTTTTTAACAATAGTTTTAAATAAAACACAGAACTAGCCAGTGCTCAATCTCTTTTCAGAAACAGTGATAAATTTGGAACTGTTTTTTTTTTTTTAATCAGGGTTTATGAATTTATTGTATATTATCTATTATATCATTGCAGCTATTATTATGAATAAGGCAGAAAGCCTTTTTTTTGTAAGAATGACAATTTTTTAATTCATTTTTTTTTTTCTTTAGCTCAGGTGTATTTTTTTTTTCTTATGTAAACTTCTCAAGCAATTTGTAAAAAGGGGAAAAAAATGCAAGGCTTTATGACACAGTGGTTTTATGTTTTACAAACATATCGTTTTAATCCTTTCTAGCAGGCCACTGAGCTGGTTATCTGATATTCTGTGGCCTTGCACTCATCACAGAGATCACAGACTGTCTGCAGATATTGTACATATCTTTATCAACAGAATTGCTAGAGATATAAAATAGTACAGAGGTTTTCTTAGAAGTGCTTCTGAGGAGATATGGGACAGTGGTGTCCAGAAAAAGGTTTTTTGCAGAACTTCCCTTTGGTAGACAGCTTTTGGTATACATAGTGACAGTGATTTCTAGGTCAGAGTGTTTTGTTTTGTGGTTCAGGATGTTACTTCATTCCCATCAATCCCAATGAATATGTTCTTATCACGTAAAATGTTTCTTTTTAAATAAAATCATGTTTCTGAATGAAATGAACGTACCATAGAGCATGAACTCATTAAGCTCATGAGGCAGGTGAACATTGAATCACAAAATGGTTTAGGTTGGGAGGGAACTTAAAAACTTAAACAGCATCCAGTTCCACCTTCTGCCATGGGCAGGGACATCTCCCACTGCATTATGATGTGTGCAGTTCTTCTCTCAGTCTTGTTTGCATATCATAATAAAGGTATTTGAATGACTTCAATATGCTGGTTTTCTCTGTTGTATTATTTACTCAATGTGTTTGTTAATTGTTAATGCCTTTGTTGTTGCAGATACAGCAGTGGTGTATAAAGATAGGAATGGACATGTTATTGAACTGAATGTAGAAACAAATACCACTACATTATTACTGGAAAACACAACTTTTGTAAGTAACACATTTTATTTCTTGCTGGAAGTCTGCTAACTTTTTTCCTGTAACAGCAGTGAGAGAGTACAATATTTAAAGATTGCAGAATATATGTTCGTAACCTAGAGTAGGATATGTATAAATGGAAAGTATAATCCATTCCTGTCAGTGCATGATTTCTGGCTTGTTATTTTATTCAACCTACATGCAAATAATTAATTGGTATATATGTTTTTGGCTGTAGTCCATGTTTTGTTCAGGCCATTTGAAGGATTGTCCCTGACATATCTGTTAGTGGATCTAGCTGTGTGCAACATTTCATAAAATAGGGAATTCTACCCAAAATTTGAAAGCTTTCTGTTATCAGAAATGGGGGAAAGTGTTCAAAAAATCATACAAAGATTTTTCTTTAAGCAATTATGCAGAGAAAGAAAAAAATATTTCCTATTCCTGGTAATCAGAAGTTTAAGCATTCTTTACTGCTTTAATGGTAATTGGATGGCTGAGGATTTCTCTTTACCAGTAAATATTACATTCATGAGTAGCTTCAATATATTTCTGAGCAGCAGTTAATTGCTAAAAAATGTTACAATGCTTAGTTTCCATTTTCCTTTGCTTGGCTTGGAGCTGTTAGTCTCAGTGATAACCTCTTACATCCTACCCTGTAATTCCTGTTTGTCAGGACTTTGCATTGTGAATGCATTGCTTGCCAGTCTTTCCTCCTATGTGCTCTGTATGGACCACTGACTGTTACTGCTTGTCCCTGTATTGTCCCTTGTGTGAAGTAGTTTCCACCTGTAGACCAAAAAAGATTACTTTTTCTTTTTTTCTACCAGTGGTGTTTGACAGGGGCTGATTTTATTTCTGGTGTGCTGTTGGCCTTTGCTGATACCAGTGCTTCATTTCAAAACATAAAACCCTCAGTGAAGTTTCCTTTTAACTCATTGAACCGGAAAGAAGAGTGCAGAAGTTCAGGAAAGTGAACTTGATCCTGATATCCCAGGTCCATGTAAAGATGAAGGAGAAGGGAGGAGAAAGTTGTATATTAAGGTAGAGTGTGCATAAGGCTCCCTTTGTGTAAGCTGCCCCCCATCCGTATGCTGGGGTGTGCCTCACTTTACATCCTAGCCCAAAAAAGATTGTCAGGCACAATGAAAAGTGAGTGAAAAGGAGAATTTCTGTGAAGTACAAACAAAGAAATATTGGAGAAACACTTTCCCTCTTAATTCTGTATATCTGTGAGTGCTTGTCTGGCTAAGTGGAGGACTCACTGTGTTAGGCCTATACCTTCAGTGTGTAACTTAAATGCAAGCAGCTACTTGGACATTTCTGACTATTAAAGATAAATTTAATTACAGTTCTTGAGTTTCCTCACAAATGAATGCATACACTTTTGGCTGCAGGTGTTTGGCTTACGCTATGCAGTGCCAGCATGAGAAGCTGTTCAGGCTATTATGCTAAACCAGCCGTGCCAATCAGTGATGAATCAGTATGGACAAACTGCTTCACACTGTGAGCGTTTCGTCTTGTCAGAAAGTTGCTCATGTTTTTTTATGGAGCTGATTCACATTTAACTGATACAGACTGACAGAGCTCTCAACATTAGATATCTACACTTCATTAAACATGGGAAACTGATCCAAGATGGCTACTGTTCAAGCAACCATTGAATGATTATCTATGGAATAGTGCCAAATAAAGATGTGTGGGGTTTCTTTTCTTTTCTTTTCTTTTCTTTTCTTTTCTTTTCTTTTCTTTTCTTTTCTTTTCTTTTCTTTTCTTTTCTTTTCTTTTCTTTTCTTTTCTTTTCTTTTCTTTTCTTTTCTTTTCTTTTCTTTTCTTTTCTTTTCTTTTCTTTTCT